AATGGTTTTAGAACGCACTCCTATGTTAGGTTAATTAACACATTTAAGATGATTAAGTGCCATAGTTAATTACTAACCCAAAGCTCAACTCTCTCTAATCTTGGTTTTATATGTTGTGTAGTATACAGTGTTTTTCCACTTGCTAGTAATTATTTAATTGGAAGTAAAGTTAAGAAAAACAATGACTAGTGGGTTGGTTATAATAATTGAACTAAGAGCTATTAATATGTGAAGGAAAAAAGATCATAATAATTGCGTACGACAGGTGACTTCCAATTAGAAAAGTGATATAAATGTTGCATTTTGAACATGCATTTCCGGATCCAATTTATGTCAACGTATTTCGTGTTTCTTTTTAATCTTTCTATTCCTTTTTTTTTTAGAATAATCAAATGAAAACAATCGAAAGTGCACAATTTAATCTGATGCTAATTAGTAATTACTGTCAATAAGACACTATTTAACTTCGATAAAAAAAAAAATTAATGACACGAATATGATATATTCATACATAGAGTCGAAATAACTACAAATACGTGGATCACGTGAAAATGTCTTTACAATTATTTAGTAATATCAAGTTCAATTCCTGAATACATAGGTGACAAACCTTTTTCTTTTACTTTTTCTTTTCTACAAGTGAATTAACAAAAAAAAAATATGCATCAAAATGTTGTGAAATTAAATGTTAGTTTCTCTAAAGCTTAAATATATTTTAATTTCTAAAAACATGATATTTTCTTTATTTTAATCCTTGTAAAAAATTATATTTACAAAATTTGGTGCCATTAATTATTTATGCCTCTACTTAATGAGTTGAAAGTAGGAAATTATTGGAAAGCAGAATAGGAAATTTGCTTAACTCTTGTAGAACTCCAAACTCCTTGTATGACCTATAGGGGTTGATCAAGCTTGCTATGAATTATTAGCACGATAAAATCCCACAAGTCTTTATGCTTAATTGAAAAGACAATAAGTCACCACTTTGTGCTCAGACTTTTCTTATGTTACACCTAGAGAATCTCACTTTCTGAGTTTAGTGGTTTTAGGTGTGTGATTACCTAAATAATGTTAAAAAAATATGAATCATACATTTAGAGAGAATACAAGAAGTTTCCATTTTTTGCTTTCTGTAGGTTGCTAATAGAGAATCCAAGTTCAAGTTCTACTGGTGGGGTGTGATTGTGTAAAAAAGTAATATAAAAACAAAGTAGCATATGAGTTAATTGAACTTGGTCAGAATAGGTCAATAAAAATCATGGTGAAATTGAAGAAGTGAACGTGTTGCCGCTCACACTAAAAGGATTCAAGTAGAATGTGAAAAATTAAAAGCAGGTGTTTCTAAGCCACTACAATACTTTAATAATTGAGTGAAATGTGTTTATGACTTCAAATTTAGAAAAGTATGAAAAATATTTGAAAATAATTGTTGGGGGTGATGGCAGTCATGCATGCACACAGTACAGTCCCCAACCCAAGGCACATGATTTGCAGAGTGGATTTTGTTCATTGACTTGGTCACTTGGGCACTGAGTATGTTGACTGAGTGGCAGACCTAGCAAAGAAAATATATGTGGTGGGATGTGGAGAATGTGATCAGCCAATAGTGATTCATGATAAAAAGATAAAATCCAGAAAAGAGAGTCCATGTGTGCCATATTTTGTCTCACCTACAACAAGATTGTCATACCTTAGACTATCTTAAAACAGCTAAAAGCACTAACACTATGATATATATATATATGTGTTTTCTTACCATTGTTGTTGGCTCATTCCCTTGTTTTTATTGTTTATATGAAGCTTATTTGATTCCTCTGTTGAAATGTTGTGAGCCAATAATATATGTGCAAAAGAAAAAGAATAGAGCTCTGAAGTGCCATATTTTCCTCTGAATAAGAATCAGAAGCAAAGATAGACCCATCTATCTGAATTGACACAGACCTCATCACCGCTCAATCTGCACCAGCCGGGAATCGAACCCGGGTCTGTACCGTGGCAGGGTACTATTCTACCACTAGACCACTGGTGCTTTCTTGTTCAAATCTATTTTGTATAACATATAATTTAACATGAACAGAGCCTTACATGATTAAATCTACTTTTCCAATTTTAGTTTGGTTTCTTACGTCACACTTTCTTGGTGGATTGAGTGTAGGGTCCTGATTTGTGAAGAACTTTCCCTCGTAGAGTAAGATTTATGGGTTGAGGAGTGAGTAATCCTTCCCAAATTTACTTTGATTTCTTACGTCGTTGACTTGACTTGGTCAAATATAGTAACTAGACTCTTCATTTTGACCTCACCTGCAGAAATAAATGTCAAATCAAAGTTTTTTTTTTAATTATACTTCTAAAAGTTTGTTTTCATCAGAAAATACTAAAAAAATATTTTTAAATTCATTTTGCTTAAAAATTTAATTTATACTAGTGAGAAGCTATAACGTTCTAACATTCTACATTGATTTCATAAAAAATAAAAAAAATATAAAAAAAAAATCTCAAGCGTCTGATGTTTTTAATGAAGCATAACTTTTCAGAAATTTTGAAAAAGAAAAAGACATTTGTTACGTTAGAAAAAAAATTATTTGTATAATAAATTTATATTTTATATAATTAAAAAATAAGATACATATATATAACTAATATTTAAGTCTATACATAAAAATAACTGAGATTTTAGTATGTACATTACACACTTTAAATGATTATTATGTATAACGAATTATATTTAAGTTTTGTATAAATAAATATTTTTAAACATTAAATTATATTTTAGATTTATAATAAATAATTTATTATATAACACAATTATTTTTATTTTAAAATATTAAAATATTTTTTATAAATAAATATGATAATTAAAAATTAAATTACATAAGAAATTTAAAAAATATATATAAAAACTTTTTTATCAAATTTATTTAATTATTGATGATTTATTTTAAAAATATTAAATTTTAATTCATATATAAATATGATTCAGATAAGAAGTTACTAAAAACATTTTCGCTAAAAATTTCTATAAACACTTTTGAGTTAAAAGTCTATATTTAATATATAGTTATAAATAAAATAATTTTAGATCGACTACGGCTTATTTAATGCCGCTAATAGTGAAATAATAGTTTAAAAACTTTTAAGTTTAAATTTAAATATATTTCAATAAATTACATAAATAATTATAATTTATATATGTATTAATTACATTCCAAAAGTTGATGTGACAAAATTACTTATTAAAAGTTGTTTTGTTTAATATATTTCTTTTATTAATTCATATTACTTTATATCATTAACGTTTATGGCTTTTATAGTTTTTTAATAAAGAAAAACATAATTTTAACAAGATTTAGGGTTAAATTTGAGGTATTGAGATGTCACAAAATATTATGATGTCTATAATATATAACAATAGAAAAGGTAGTTACTTTTTTTTTGGTACATATTTTATGAACTATTTTACCTTTTTATAATCACTTGTAATAAACTCACAGATTTCACTTGTAATTTTAATAATCATCTACTGTTGTATAATTCTTATTATTTATTATTTCTTTTATAACAATTCACACAATACTTTTTGTACGCTAGTTTGGTATAATTAAAATAACATTGTTCATTGATGTAATTAAAATATACTCTTTTCAATCTCGGTTGATAAATTGATTCTAATACTTAAATTTATAAAACTAGCTCATAAGTTACGGTTAGCAAGGAATAAAAACACCCTTTTCTAGCTTCATCAATAATAATAATTATTATTATCATTATTATAATTAGTGTTGAGTCAAGATAAAAATACTTCATCAAACAGATTTTAATGAACATGTCAGAATGAAAGGAAATTAACATGATTTTTATTTCATATTAAATTGTTTTAAAAAATGATTTGGAAAATGATATTTTCCAATTCTACTAAAAGACCAAAGAGAACAAAAGCGACACTAAGCAATTCTACTCGGCTTTATCTTCACCAAACTCTGCCTATAACTATAGCCTGATGAAACATCCTACCAGGGATTCATGATAAGTTCTTTATACTTTATGTACAATGATAAGTTCTATACTAGATACAACTTACATCCAATCAAAGAATGTGCATATTTATCCTATTTTGCATCCTGCTTTTGGCTGGATTAGATTCAATCAAGCCTAGGTCTAGTCACAAAATATTATCATTATGAGCTACACGCCTACACAACATGATGAAAACTACCACTCATGTTTCTCGGGGGCATCATCAAGGCAATTTGAATGGTCATGGACTCCACCAAAGACACTGCTGCCATGAACAAAATTAGGTAAAACATCACATAAAATGAACAAAACTTCTTTGACTCAATTTATATATAGTGAAAGAAAACATATTACTAGCCAAAATAACAGCCAAGCATCAAGTCTGCATAAAGGTCATCAATCTGGTTTACATTCCGCACTAGAAACGTAAATATTCCAGATACAATTACATGGGAGAAAAATCTCACCAGGTGAAATCACAATGAAGCAAAACAAGACATTGTAGTTGGCCAAACATTACATTCATGAAAAAGAAAATAAAAGAAAAAAAACAATTATATAAATTTTTTTGTAAAGCTTCTACTGCATCTCCTACCTCTTTTTTTCAGAGTAATATTCATTCAATCAACTATTTTATATTGGTTTTCTTTTCACATAATGATTAAATCACCTTAACAGAGACTCAATCTTTCCTTCAGTTAACTACAGCTTTCATTCATCCCTGACCATATCCAACACTAGTTTCATAATAAACCGACAATTCAACACCCAAACTATCATTATATTCAAGAGGCTGCAAACAAAACACGACCAATAAAGAATTGGGTGCATCACTGATATTTCTCCACTCCAGTCGCCTCATTCGAGACAGCATTTCAAACATTAAAGCCTTTCTTCAATACTGAGTAAATCAAGCAAGGCCATGCATAAAATCATGGGCAAACACCCAAATGTCAAGGAAAATTCTAAATTATACTCGCTGCAACTGACAGAAAATTTTGGGTATCCATTCCAGTAAGATATCTAAACTTTGTGTTTTACACTTCAAAGCTACAAACAACAGAACAGAACTATAAACTCAACCTCAGGAAATCACCTGATATATACATCCCTAAATAATGAAAAATAAAAACGGATATAAGAGAAAGAGACAAAAAAAAGTAACCAGAATATACATGCACTTTTGTACAAAGGACCAACTGAAGTAAGAAAAGAGAGAAGGAAAACATAACACTCATTCTAGTTTAGTCTAGTTCGTTAGTTTCTAAGACTACACCCAGCAGTATTCTACTTATTTGGTACTCTCATTTCTATGTGTTCACCGATCTCTTTAAGAGACCCAGAGTCGAGGGAAGCTATCTTCATTTTTGAGACGAATGCACATTGATCTTACTTCTTACTTCTTACAAAAACGCCATCCTTTGGTAGCACCTGCTGAAAGGTAGGCAAGTCATAATAGACTCCATGTATTGACCATTACTGTTAATGCTATTACATATTCACCATCCTTCACTGGCACTCAGTGGGAAAGTGGAGGAAAGTCATCTTCATTCTTCAAATGATAAGCCTGATCTTCAATCCTGAATCTCAAACCATAGACACCCCCTTAAAGGAGAGGAAAACTAGGAGTACAAACTATAATTATAGTGCTTTTAGCTCTAAAGAAAGTTGCTAGCGGTTTAACATCATAAGTAATCTCAGTAGCAACAAATGATCATCAATAGAAAAATTATATTACCTTTTGGAATCAATTACAGACAATGAATTAGACCTCTCCTCTGTCACCACCCCAATGTTAGGCACAGTGCCCCCAGAAGTAGCAGAGTCTGGGTAATTCGTCGTTTCAGTTCTTGGGGCTACACGAAGCTGAGGGCTCACAGATCCAGATTCGTGTTTCTCAGATGAGTGAAGGAAACCATTAGCATAATGTGATCCCCATGTAGAAGGTTGAGGGAAATAGGTTTCAGATGATCTGGTTTTAGTACTACCAAGAGCAGGATATCCTTCTAGAGCATGTTCAAAAGTACCTTCTGCAGACAAATTCATCTCTTGTGGAGCTAGGGCCAAGCCATTGTTACGGGTGTGTCTCTGCAGATGCCCATAAGTACCCGGTGCTTGACCCCTTCCCCTTCCTGGCATTGGCCTATTATCCCTGTATGGACGCGAACTCTGCAAAATTATGAGCTTAACAATTAGATGATAATTGGATTAGTAGAAAGCTTTTATATATATATATAGTGTACAGGTTTATGAGTCCAATATTAACAACTACAAACTTTATAAATACCATATTAGGGAAGTATGCGCCTGTTCCCCGTACTTTTCTCTTCTCTTCTGAACCAAAAGAAGTCATTGGCAGAGTAGGATTTATGACATAAACCTGTTGTCCCATTACACAGTTTGAGTTTGTCTGAGAACGAATACTGTGATTAATCTGTACACATTGACGAACAGTTTCCCATGGGTTCCTATTCGGAAACTTTGGAGACCTAGGAGGACTAGGCACCACAACAGGACAGACAGCATAACCATTACACATCTGACCATATTGTAAGTTCCCAATGTGACTGTCATAATCCCCAGCAAGGTCCAACAATGATTTTGTAGCTTCAGTACCCACAGAAACACTAGTAGCGTATCTATCACTATGAAAGAAATGATTTTCAAGGATATTAGCATCTGTTGAAACAGCCGAACCAAAAGAAGCCATAATCTTCTCATCAGCATGCAATCTGGGAGAATTGTTCACCAAACCTTGCTTCTCTTTTTCATCATCAATAACAGAATTTAGATCAGGTTCGCTACTAGAAATACTATTTTCTAATTGCCCATTTGACAAACCATTAGTGCTTGCAATATCCAAGACTCCAGATGTTGCAATATCCAAGACTCCAGATGTTGCAACATCCTTAGAATCTTCACTAAGTTTAAAACTTGCAACTGCATTTCTATTCCCAGAGGAGTCAAAGAACTCCCCTGCCAAAGAGGGGACATCCTGTACTATATATCTTTCTCTTTCCTCTCTGCTTTCATAATTATGTTGATTTCCAGGTTTCCAGTCCTTTTTGGATGCAGTAGATAAGCTCAAAAATGACTTGTCTACATTTCCCTGAGTGCTTCCATGCCTTTCCAGAGTGTTTGCAAAGAACCTAATAAGCTCATCTGCTATTCTATCTTCGGGTAACATAAGAATCCAGCCAAGTTTACGGGCACCATACTTAAAAGCACTGCGTATTCGAAAGAAATTACCTGAAAGAAATAAATGAACGTTAACATCATAATGAGACATTAGACAAAAGCAAGGCATCTATGACAATATTCTTCGCTTCTCTGTATCCATGGATAGTATATAAAACAAACATAAAGAATGCGTAGCCTCAGTAGTGTTGCAGTGGCAATATTTGTAAGTTAGTAGAATATTCTAAGGGGGGGCTGCGACTAGCTGATTTACTAAGGCTAATTACAGATGGCCCTTGTTACCAAAAATGGGGAGGGTGATCTGGATATAAAGTCAGAATCCAATGAATGATAACTAGGTTACCATAGGAATTAAGATGTTTTAAGAAGTGAAGCATTAAACTAGACCCCCTAAAGTAGTTACCTTTGATCATGGAGACATATCAAAAGAATGAAGAGTCGGATGATTCAAGTAGAACTTAACAAGTCCCTGTTTGGAATTTTGGATAAATAATTTAAGTGCTTATTCAAGTACTTCTCAGGTATGGTCCAAAACTTAAGGAAGGTCGTTCAGAAAGACATTTCAAGATGGCCTTTGTTACCAAAAATGAGGGGGGTGATCTGGATATAAAGTCAGAATCCAATGAATGATGACTCTGTTACCAAAGGAATTAAGATGTTTTAAGAAGTGAAGCATTAAACTAGAACCCCTAAAGTAGTTACCTTTGATCATGCAGACATATCAAAAGAATGAAGAGTTGGATGATTCGAGTAGAACTTAACAAGTCCCTGTTTGGAAATTTTGGATAAATAATTTAAGTGCTTATTCAAGTACTTCTCACAGGTGTGGTCCAAAACTTAAGGAAGGTCATTCAGATAGACATTTCAAGAAGGGCTTGTGGAGGAAATTAGTATTTGAGATTTTGAGGTCAATACATAATTATCAATCCAATTCCTCAACACCATCCCTTCTCCTCCTGACAACCTATCCTTAACTTAAGTGGCATAATCAACTCACTGCTTTGGAATATTCTCCCACTTCCTCCACACAAACACTTTCCACTTCAGCTCACTTAAAGACAACACTAAGCAGAGAGCCAGAGATGGTGATTCTCTGGGACGTACCAAGGTAAAAAGCTACTTGGAAGCTATTGCAACAGCACAACTGACACCGGTTCTTAGAGCAGCCAGAGCTATCTCATCCTTGAAAATTTTTAATTGAGAATATAAGAAATACAAATTGTAGACCATCTGACCTAAAATTCCTAAAAAAATATTTATTGCTTTGATTGAAAAATGCAGGAAAATGTTGAGATATGTCCACAGTAGCAACTTTAGGGTTAGACACATTCTTTACGAAATTAACAAGAAGAAAAATATTAATGGAAAAGGAAAGCACATAATCCTTTTGCGTTCTTCCCTTACCTCCTTTTTAAAAGGTTCAATCATCAAGTAATTTCAAACTTGCTTCATGTGTAACTATTCATATTGATCTATTATATCATATTTAAATATCCTTGAAAAGAGGAATATAGCTATTTCTCAATGTGTTCATTAATATGAATTCTCCCCTTCTTAAAAGGATCAATTAAAGAAAACCTTAAAAAAGCAAGATAACATTTTAAAACTAGATAAAGCATACCATTATAAAACCTAGCCACATAACATTAAAATGCAATTCAATAGGCATTCAGACTAAAAGTTAAACACTACATGCCTTTATTGACACTGCGGCCAAGATTATTGTTTTCCTTCAATGGATCAATGATGTTAAGATGTTTCTGGGGAAATGCACGCAAATTTAAATCAGAGCCCCTTGAAGGTACTGAGAATGATTCCACACAGCTTCTAATGAATTCTTCAGTCAGTAGAGTATTCCCTCCATTTTCAGGCACCTCAGCTTCACATAGCAAGAAATAGATAATTAAAAAAAAAACATAAAGCTACTTAATGATACAAAAAAAAAATTTAAATTAAATTAAAAACTGCCTACCTACTACATTAGGCAGAGAAGATTTGCTAACTGGTCCCTTCAAACTGACACAATAATTGTCCCAATCGAATTTACTGAAGTAGTCCAAAAATCTGTAGAGAACCTGGAAAGGCAGAGTGTACAAAATTCTTACTGAAAGGATGCATCACGACCATCATCATGTGATGCAGATTTGCTTTTCCATCTTTTCAAGAAAAAAGTATGATCCAGCTAGATTTGATGAACTTACTGCTAGAGGACCATCTAAGGATACATGAAACTGATGGAAAATATACAGAACCAGTGTTTCCAAAGCATATGTTGAAATCAGACCATGATGGGCACCCAGTACACGGCTCTCATAATAGCACCAAGCTTTAATCCGGATGATACTTCGTTTGAAGAGATGATCCTTGGCAACAAGTCGATCAATCTATAAATTATAAGAGCATAATTTACTTAATATCAGATACCAATGGGATGTAATATAATATAAAACAAAAGGAAGAGTCACTTAAATAATGCACAATATTCCAAACTATAATGTCAGTAAGCATATAGATGCTGTGACACAAAATAATTGTTTCAGAAGTCTTGAGACTCAAATAAAATAAAGAAAATCAAATAAATAACAAAAATCATTCTGCTTTCTGAAATGTTAAGTGATAATGCAGAAAACTAAAAATTAAAAGCATTGTGTTACAAATATTATTTCATTCTTAAGAGGCCACATTTAATAATACCTTTTCAAGAAAACATAATGTACTGAGTCCTCCTAACTGATTGAAAGAGATGTCTACAACAATATCCTGTACAATGCATTTAACAAGCTTAACCTGCAGAAAAAGAGCCCCAAACATATGAACACACAAAATAAAATTATGCAATACTGCACCGAAGACACACATTAAGCATCTTCAGTGAGTACAAGATTTCAGTAGATATAATAAGTTAAATAAGTCAACAACAAACTGGCTAGCAGAATAAGCCTAGCACATTAGCTTCATGATGTCTCCACAAATACAACAATTTTGCTGTCCACATGAGAAAATATACAGAGATTAAAATCAAAAAGAATTGCCAGGAGCTGCTCTAGATCTAGTCGACCCTACCAAAAATAAAACAAACTACCTATACATAGACTGAAGCAACAAGCTGGGGAGGGGAAAAGACATTTCCATAACTTAATGAGCATAAAAGCACAAACAGAACATTCTAACACTGCCAGCTTCGGAAAAGAGAAATAGAGGGTAAGACAAGAGGGAAATTATCTGAATGTTTGAAAACACCTCAAAGTTTTAATAGAGAGGGAAAAAATGCCTGAGCTCATTCCCATTCTTGAAAGTGAAATATATTCCCCTCAAATATAAGTAAAAGAAAATGCAGATTCAACATTTTTGAGGCTCATTACTTTTAATTTCTAATTTACTTTGGCAATTGGCATAAAATATTTTTCAGACCATAATGCATTCAATTTCTGATAAGGCACCAATTATGAGTGGGAAGAACCTCTGCATCAATGAAACGAACATCCTTTACTTCATATTCAGCAGCTTCATTGACTTCCTCTCCATGAAGGACAGCACGAACATCAGATACCAAGCCATCCTCAATGTTTTGACAACTGAGTGCGGTCAAATCAATATCTCCATCTGGAAGATATGTTTTTAATGGAACTGACCCATATGGAAAAACCTGTAACATAGAAAAATTAACATCAGTAATGCTATACCCAATTAGATAGAAAGAATCATGTGATTACTGCCTGTAGTCAAGAAAAATTATTCATCAAATCTGCAAACTGATCAGCTGCACATTATTGAATAAGCCCTTTCAAAGAAATAATAAAGGCATGAACCACCAGCCTCAACTTATATAGAAGAAATATCTTCATTTCATTCAAAAGGACAAAAAATAAAAACAATAAATCATGGCATACACCCAATACATCTTGGATAAATGAACATCTATGACCAAGTGTCTAGAGTTTGTTTATTGTCATCCTAATAAAAAATTCAATTTCAACACGGGTTGGGTGGCTTGTGTATTATCCACAGTTCAAACCCAGAGGCCTCTTTAGGAGCTGAGTTGATAATGTAATATAAAAACATTCATATATCTTCACCCAATAGCTTATGCTTTGGTAATAATTGGTGAGTGAAAGAAAATATTAGGGGTACTATAAGAGAGTGAAATTTACGTGAATGTAGTTATATTTTCCTATAATTGAGTATGTAATGTATTTCTTAATCCTTGTTCAAAATCCTTAAACAGATATTTTGAAAGAGGTAGAAAAACACATATAGTGTCAAATGATTACATGCTCATTTACGAACCAGAGTTGCTATGATACCCTTATGGATATGGTCCCCAAGTTGTCAAGCACTTATTGGTGATGATATCAAAATAGATATTAAAGAATACATTAACATATAATTAATGACTAATTAACTGCCCTTGGATATCGACATTCAATAAGTGATTAATACTAGAGTAATGCCATTCAACAACTGAATCCCTCATCAAATCACTGATTTGTTCATTTCACCACATGTCCCATGCCCACCAATATGAAATGACACTTTGGAATCTATACAACAGAGACACCAAAATTCAGTAAATTTCAAAAATTAAAAGACACAACACTGCTATAAAACATGTAAAATAAGAATAAAATTATCATAAAACGTATCTAAAATCAAAACACGAGAATTGATATTTTAAAAGTGAACATAATCATTTTAGACATAATAAAACACTTTTTTTTTTTGCATTTAGTGATGAGGTATAACTCTTTCCCATCAGATCGTCCCTTATAAAGATAAAATAGTACTTCTAGTCGCAACTTTATGCCTAAGTCAATGATTGAACCTCAGTATTAGTTAAAGAGCACAAGTTTTGATACTTACATAACGAATTTCGGCGTATCGGTTTAATCATTGGTTTGTTCCCATTCATATATCGGTTTAATAAATGCATAATTAAAACAAAAAATTGTAAAATGCAGATAAAAATATTCAAATAACTGACAATAACACCAGTCAGTCTCCGGTAAAAAAAGCAAATAACTACTATTTGGAAGTGTTCATCCTTCCTTGGCTACATGGTTCCACATTGACATCATCAGAGCAAAAGAACCAAGGTCACAGCCAATCACACTACATTTTCTTTCACATTTAGCTGCCCCGATAACCAACCAATACCAAGAGCAAACTTAGCCAAACCACCAACTAGCACATTTCTTTCTCTACCTCCTGAACAAAGGCAGAGAGAGCACTACTCCATTCCATTACCAATTCACCATTGCAACTACCACACACATTCCTAACAGTGAAGTTATTTTACCGGTTATCACCAATGTCGCCCTAATTTCAAAAGCAACAACACAAACAACTCCAAATTCACGTCCAACACCATCACAATCATCAAAGCCATAAAAAACAAAACGGAAACACCGAACAAGCATGCCAAGATCGTTTAAACGAAATTCAATTACAAAAAACACAGAAACGAAAGCAAAACGACGACGACGGCAATTGAATTGACGAGAATCGAAAACATCACCTCGCAGCGCGCGCCGTACCGAATGAGTCTCTGGACGTAATCGACGACCTCCCTCCGCCTGCGGTCGGCGGCGAGCGTTGGCTGTATGCGGCGGAGAATCTCGCTGGTGGTTTTCTCGGCCGCCGCCCAGGCATCCGGCGCGATGGAGGACGGATCGGGATTCGAAGACGGAAGCGGCGGCGACGGCGGCGAGGACGCGCAGGGGCGATCCTCCCCGAAAACGACGCCGTTCACATGAAGATCGCCCATGACGGTAGTTAAAACGGGCACGACCCGACCCGGAAGCGGAGTCCGGGGCAAAGAAGAAAGGAAGAAAAACAAAATAACAAAAAGAGCGTTGCTGTGAAAATCTTAGCAACAGTGGCGCGTGGCTGGTTTTTGAAGACGCGAAAACGAAAAGCGAACGAAGAAAAAGGGTAATAAAAAAAAAAGATATATCTGCGAACCGAATAGAAAACCCAAAAAAAAATTAAAATGAGAGAAGACAGAGAGAAGAGGGAAAGAAAGAAAGAAAAAAATAGGGCAATAGGGCTCGTCTTTGTTTCGTCGTACTCTATACTTGAAGAAACCGACTCCAACACTCGCTGGCTCCTATTTTTCTGATTTTGTCGACGCAATGACAATAATAAATGGATCAATATTTGGGCCTTCTTGGCTTGGTATGGAGAAAAAAAAAATACGTAGGATAATGAACTAATGAAGAAAATGGTTTTTCTTTTTCAATTCCTGCCGATTCATGAGTCAACTTTGTGAAGTTATAAACTATTGGGCAATTGTTAATTTATTACCATGGGCATGGGAGGTTTACTATTTTTCCTTTTCTTTCTTCTTTTAGGGTTTGTGTTTTACTTACACGGAATGTATGTTGGGAATGTGGACCTTCTTTTGGTGTATAGGTGTAGGGATTTTCAAAAACAATATTACCTAAGAAAATTGACTTTGTAGGTATAGGCTTGTGTAATTTAATATGTAAGTTTATGCAAATAATAACCTTATATTAATGCAAAATGTATTTTACTTTGTAATAACCTTCTTTTTGTATGTAAAATGTATTTTACTTTGTAATTTAGCTATTGTCACGTTGAAATTTAAAAATTTACTAATAGTCAAAAGAAAAATATTTGTTATTGTTAAGTGCAAATGAGAAATATCTATGATATTAAAATTGTTTTGAATTAATAATATGATGTTATATAGTTAATAGATAATTATTTTTACATGTAATTAAAGATTCAATACATGAGTACATATGTACCAAAAAACCATACATTCAAATATATTAATGCTTTAGATTGATCTTTGCACTTCAAAATATTAGCTTTTGACTATCGTTTAAGAAAATTCTAGACACTCAATCAATTGCTTGGAAATGGAAATCAATGTTGTTAATGTTGTTATAGTTTTTATAAGGAAACTTACCAAAAAATCCATAAAGAAAAATTATGAAAGATAATTTCTTAGTAATACACTATGATAATGATTTTAACTAGAATCAATCCTTCAAACATTATTGATACTAATAATATCTCGTGTAGTTAGTAAAAAAAATGTGTGAACAAAGTTGTTATACTAGTCAATTTAAAAATGATATATATAATAACCATGTAAAAAAATTTAATTAGTAATCATATCAACTTTATAAGAGACTTTTGAAATAAAACAATTATAAATAATAAAAAATGACAAGATTGATTATTTTACCAAAAACTTCAAGGAAATACTAATCTACAAAGAAAATTGTTATCAACAATTATATAACTTTTTAAAATGAAATGACTTAAATAATTTGTTCATTACCTCACACTCAAAGAAAGGAATTGTCTTCATCATTCTTTCCTTAAATATTTTTAAGTAGCACCAATTAGGTTTAACATAATTCATAAATAATTGAATTTCTTAAACATGTCGATATATGAGTTCAATTCTTTGATTGTGCATAAAAAGAATTAGTCTAAAAGATAATTAGTTTTCAACTATTGATTAGAAAATATCATCGAACCAAACAAAAAATATTGAAAACCATTATGAGCATGACCTTTTTTAATATTAGGTATTAAACTAATACTCATTTTATATTAAGGTGGCAATGGAACGCATAAGGAGTTGTAGACCCCTAAAATTGTCCGGGTCGGAAA